AGATATTAAAGAACTTATTTATAAAGTTTTATATAATTTAATTAATTAGTTATTGAATTATAAGTAAATATATGATTTCAGTTTTTTTTGCACACTACTATAGAAAAAAATCAATAAATTCAATGTTTTTTTATTTTTTTAAATTCTTTTCACTATTTTTGCTTTAAACAAAACCTAGATCAAAATCAAAAAAATATAAATAAAATATAAATCCAAACCATAGAATAATTAATAAAATAATATCAGATAGATTTATTTTATAATAACTATTAATTATATACATTATTATTATATATTATTGTCATACAGTAAGTTATTTTATTATTTACTATATATATGAGCCAATTAAATTAGATAATCACATGTTACATGCTATAATCGGAATCTCTTAATTTATATTGCATAATAATTATAGCACTGTCAAAAATAAAAAAACGTAGTATAGGTGACACCATTGTTTATATCATTGTTAGTTGTCAATGATAAAAACAAGTCAGTTTTTTTTTTATACAAACAAAACCATTAAAATTACCACATGCGTATAAAATTATTTTTAGAAGTGTATTAAGTTGCCAATTACTTTATCCGGAAGATTGTTTATTTTTGCGAATGAAAGATTAAGCAATTTTAAGATTGCAGAAAAGGTTGTCTCTTTTTATCACAGGACAAACATTAGCATCGTAAAAATTTGTCGGTTAATGGACTAAAATCAAAAGAAACACTTTGTAAAAGATAAAACATGTAATGATTTAGAAATTCTTTTAATGATTTAAAAAAAAAAAACTTCATTATTATTGTAAAATAAATGCACTTTTTTTGAAGAATCGTTTCTTAACGAAGTAATAAATGATTGAAATACAAGATTAAATACAGCATAGTACTTAGTGTGTGAGGTTAGCATAAAAAAATAAATTGGTTGAATATTTCTTGCCAAATTCTGAGCATTTCGATGCCAATAAAACCTCTTAATTTGAATAAACTCCTTTACCCAAGAGACTACATTATCATCGTTTTAGTTCCACCAACATCCTTCCGTTGACCCTTAGCAAAAAGGTCAGGAAGGAAACAGACATTACTGTTGCTCCGATTACTAAAAATGCATAAGGAGTTCTAGGACCCGCGTATATTTTAAATACAGTAGCGAACACCAATCCACCCACGTTGCCACCAGCCCCCACTAGCCCTGAAACCGTTCCTACTATTGGGGGGTCTACGAACGGTATTATTCCATATGTTGTTCCACAACCCGCCTGAGTAAAATAACTAAAGAGTACCAATATAACAATGGCCGTACCCAAACCACTATTAACAGAATAATTGAAAACGATCAAGAATAATCCTTCAAGGAATAGAATTACAAATTGTAAGGCCAATCTTCCACGAATTTCGAATTTGGAATAAAGAAGGTCGGAAAAGAGTCCACCAGTAGGACGGGAGAAAAAATTCATGGTACCAAATATCGAACCAATTAATCCAGCCGTAGTTTGATTGAGGTTAAAATGATCATGAAAGAATGTGGCAATAGCGTTGTCGACGGCCAATTCAACACCAAAACAGCAGGCATACATGGCTATCAGTACGAGAACATTTGGGTTTTTTATGGCTCTCAAGTATGCACCCAAGCCGGGTTTCGGTGAAACTTGTCTGTTGTCTGCATCTGATTGGTTGCCATTGTATACAGCGGATTTCTTTTCGTCGACCTCATGAACTTCAACGGGTTTTTCATGTTGTTCCCATTTTCCTTGAGGACAATCGTCAGTAATGAGCAAGTTCAATATCGCGATAAAAAAGATTATTGCAGCTGGTATCACCATGGTGACACGCCATGCTACATGATCCTCAAGGTTTGTTGCAACGCCATCAAACAATAAAGGCATCACCATGGTAGTGATTCCCGCGCCCATGTTTCCCCATCCACCGGCAAAAGCGTTGGCGGTTCCAACTGCATTCTTATCAAACATTTGCATTGTCCAGAATTGGCATGGTACAAATGCTGAGCCGAGAATTCCGACAAAGAACCGTACAATCATTAAGCTTGTTGCATCGTGAGCGAGGCCGGAGAGACCGACGGGTATAGAACCCAAGACAAGTATAGTGAACATGACACGCCTTGGACCAAGACGATCGCATAGTAAGCCCGCGGTTATACGGAAAAGAATTGTGGATGATACGGAAATGATGTTACTGTTATTTACATCATCGTTGGTTAATTTCAAATCCTTCCTGATTGTGGTGATTAAAGGAGCAATGGAGAACCAACCAAAGAAAGCTATGAAGAAAGAAAGCCATGCAAATAGAAATCCTCTCATATGAGGCCTTTTGATACTCAATAAATTTAAGGCAGTAGCCTTTTGAGTAGATTGATCGATGGCCAATGGGTTTGAAAATAATTTTATCATTTTGGGTGGTGTGTGGATGGATTTTTCATCGAAGGATTGGGTCTTTTTAAAGGTTTTTTTGGATGGACACAAAATTTATTTCTTCCAAAGGATAAGAAGGTCGTACTGATAACCACGAATTAATTATTATATTTAGTTTAATATGAGATAACGCCGATATGACACTTATTACTAATGTGCGTGAATGTTGTGGATGTTCAAACATAGTAAATCAATTATGTGACAAGCAAGGTGATAGTGATTATTCGATGATTCGGTTTATCTTATCTTTATCATATCATCATATCTACACGTTTTTTTTTTAACTCGCGCCAAAATTTCTTCTCCAAGTAACGGCAGTGTTAAAGACTCTTATCTCTGCTGTCGGGACGACGCGTAGCGAATCTTATCTTTGCATTGGGATATTAAAGATGCCATTTTAATTATAGCCATGGTGTAAAATTCAAATTCTTAATTGAGGTGAGTGGCTGATCATGTGCAACAAGAATTACAGTATGATAGTAGAAAGTACAAAACTGTTTATCGAATTCCAAATTGCGAATCCTGGACGAATTAATATTTACATATTTATTTATTATTTAAATTATTATAAATGCAATATACTGTATATTTATTATTTCAATGTACCCGGAAGACTTCGGGAATTTGAATATATATACTTCCTATCAAACACAATTGTGTCAGACTAATCAAGGAAACAAGTTTAGGGTCTTGATGATTTTCTGTTTTGTTGGCAGGCAAAAAAAAAAAAAAAAAAAACGAAAAAAAGAAAAAAAAAACAAATTGGCAATCCCGTTTGATAGAAATTATAAAAAAAACAAAAACAAAAAAGCTATCAATTTAATTTGCTACGAAGAATAACTTCATATTCACTAATAATGAAACAGTATTATGAGGAGGAGACTTCCCCAACTCATTTATTTTACTAGATCCGATAGTAAATCTGATAGTAATGTAATGTACGCATGCGAGATGTGCGGATGTATGTGTATGTAATTTTTTCATTTTAATACGTAATCAGCATGCCAGCGGGTTCTTCATGTGGTATCAAAGAGATAAACCAAATTAGAACACTTTGACAAGATTCCGAAGACGAATAATATTTGTTCGCGTGAGAGAATACATGCACCACCAAATAAAAAAATTTTCTTGTGAAACACTGAATATAAGTGATAAACCATAACTAGACTCGTGCGTCCTGTGCTAGCTGTGTTGTGTTAGCATGCACGATTTGACGTACTTCATGCGAATTAAAATGTGGTGTTGGAAGACTTATGTCACAATGCGATACCTTCGACCCTTGTAAGTGTATACATATTTGATTTAATCACCGCAAAATTCGTGGGATCAACGTTGACTTGTAGAATAATTGTTGTTGTTTAAAGTAAATATCATCGCGTCAACCTCATAACTTACATTCATTTTTTTTTTTCTTATGTGTCATTTTATTCGTGGTATGCTTACATAAAGACGATTCCATGTTTCTGAGAGATTGACAAATTAATTCTATGTAGAAAATACTGTTAATATTGCCAAATCGAAGAGGTTTGAACAAATTATCATCTATATAAAGGCAAGATCAATCAATAATGTCGAAGCACGAAAATACCGACGGCCAAATATTTATTCTGCCTTGCGTTATCTCCCCCCTTCCCAACGCATCTTATCATTGATATGATAAGACAAACCATTATTATATTTGCTCAAGTGTTACCGTATGCAAAAAAAATTTTTTTAAGAAAAAAAAAACCACGCATTAGGCATAAAGGCATAACGAAGGTCGTTACTAATTATTATTAATTTGGGTTACGAAAAATTCCGCGCATCAAATAAAGATCTGATATGATCAAATACATAACTGCCCTAAACGTTTTTTTTTATTTCGACTGTTCATCGTGATCTTCAACTATACAGATATACAAACGTGAACGACCATACGTTTATAGATAAATCTTTTTTATTTTTTTTTCGCTTCTTTCTTAAAACCATTTCCTTCTGCGGAATTCGGAAGCATTAATCATGTCTCAAAAAGTTGAAATGGCCCAAACTAACCAAGAATTACCGAAGCAGACGGTCGTCGTAATTGGACTTGGTATGGTTGGATTGTCGTTTATCGAGAAATTATTGAAGTACGATGTTCACAAAAGATTCAAGATTGAAAGTTTTAGTGAAGAGCCTAGAGGTGAGAGAGAAAGATCAATCGTCGCAAGATCCATTAATGCACTTTAATTTTTATTAGTTGATTAATTAATTTACTTACTTCTTCCTTAATTAACAAAGTGGCCTACAACAGAGTTGGTTTGACTCAATACTTTGCCCATCGTTCTGAAGAAGAGCTGTTCATGCAACCTCCTCTTTGGTACGAAGATCAAGATGTTAAAATTCACCTGGGTGACAAAGCGGAGCGAATTGATCGTGAAAAGAAGATTGTTCACTCTTCCAAGGGTCTCGCCGTGCCTTACGACTATTGCATCATCGCGACCGGTTCTTATGCTTGGAAACCTCCAATGCCAAATGTCAATAGCACCGGTGTATTCGTCTATCGCACAATCGATGATTTGAATGACATCATTTCCTATAGTGCAAATTGTAAAAAATCCGCTGTCATCGGTGGTGGTTTGCTCGGTCTGGAAGCCGCAAAAGCTTTACACGACCTGGGATTGTCCTTGACCATCGTGGAGGTCAGTCCTATACTGATGCCTCGACAGCTAGATAAGAAAGGGGCCAAATTGTTGCTCAGTGAGATCGAAAAATTGGGAATCAATCACGCTTTAGGTCAACCTCCCAAGGAAGTCGTTGTCGGTGATGATGGAAAAATCAAAGGACTATCTTTCCCGGATGGTAAATTTATGGAATTGGATATGTTGGTTGTTGCTGCAGGAATCCGTCCACGTGACGAGATCGCCAAGAATTCGGGTATCAACACCCATCAAAGAGGTGGCATCTTTGTCGACGACCGATTGCAAACGAATGATCCATCCATTTTTGCAATCGGCGAAGTGGCCTTGCACGGTGGAATGATTTATGGCCTAGTCGTTCCAGGTTATGATATGGCTGATGTCGTTGCCGCCAATTTGGCAAACCCGAGTTCCGATCGGAAGTTTGCGGGTGGTGACTTGTCAAGCAAGCTGAAACTTCTTGGGGTCCATGTGGCAAGCTTCGGTGATTACTTTGCCAAAGATGACGTGGCGATGCCCCTTGTCTACAAAGATCCATTCGGCTCGGTGTATAAAAAATTGTTGTTCTCAAAAGATGGAAAACACCTTTTGGGTGGAATCCTGGTTGGTGACACCGATGATTACACAAAGCTTCATGCACTGTCAAAATCAAAGAAACCGTTGACCATGAATCCTAGCGAACTCATCCTTGGCGTTAAGTCTGGGCAAGCGCCTGGTTCCGACGATTTACCCGATGAGGCACAGATTTGGTAAATTTTGACTTCTTTTTAAATTTGAATGATCCTCGATCTTTTTCTGATATATTCCATTTTCTCCCGTAATACGTTCAGTTCGTGCAACAATGTGTCCAAAGGAGAAATTCGCGAGGCCGTTCGAACCAAGAATTGTCGATCGATCGGTGAGGTGAAGTCATGCACGAAAGCTGGAACGGGGTGCGGTGGGTGTGTCCCAGTGGTGGTCGAAGTCTTAAATGCCGAGTTAAAGGCCATGGGACAAAAGATGAGTCAAAACTTGTGTCCTCACTTCGAATTTACGCGTGTCGAACTTTTCCAAATCATCAAGATCAAAAAGTTAAGGACATTCAAGGAGATCATTGAGACCTCTGGTAAAGTAGGAACCTATGGTTGCGAAATTTGCAAAACCACCGTCGCCTCAATTATCGCCAGTTTGTGGAATGAGCCTATTCTCAATCAAGCTACCATTCTTGACACGAATGATCGTTTCCTTGCCAACATTCAACGCGGTGGCTCTTATTCGGTCGTCCCACGAGTCCCTGGGGGTGAGATCACGCCCGAAAAACTGATTGTATTAGGTCAAGTCGCCAAGAAATATGGGCTATACACCAAGATCACAGGCGGTCAACGGGTGGACCTTTTCGGGGCAAACAAGTATGATCTTCCGGAGATTTGGGAAGAGCTCGTGAGCGCCGGTTTTGAATCTGGTCATGCTTACGGTAAAGCGTTGAGGACAGTCAAATCCTGTGTTGGTTCGACCTGGTGTCGTTACGGGATTGGCGATTCCGTGGGTTTCGCAGTTCGAATTGAAAATCGATACAAGGGCATACGATCTCCTCATAAGATCAAAGGTGCCGTTTCCGGTTGCATACGAGAGTGCGCCGAAGCTCAAGGAAAAGATTTTGGTCTCATCGCCACCGATAAAGGATTTAACATTTATGTTTGTGGAAATGGTGGTGCGCAACCGAAACACGCAGTGTTACTGGCAAAGGATGTCCCGGAGGAATTGTGTATCAAATATTTGGATCGATTCTTGATGTACTACATTCACACCGCGGATCGATTGACGCGTACAGCGAGATGGTTTGAAAAATTGGAGGGCGGAATTGACGTAAGTTATCTTATGCTTTTACCTCTGAAACCATGATCAAGACTCTTTTCGTTCACATTCAGTCAATTCACAATTATCATTGACAATATCGCTGACGCAAACCTAATCACATTTACATACAGTATCTTCGTTCAGTTATAATTGATGACAAACTCGGAATATGCAAAGATTTAGAAGAAGACATGGCGCGTCTTATTGACACCTACCAATGCGAATGGACAGAAGTTGTCAATAATCCATCTCGACGAAATTATTTCAAACAATTCATCAACACCCCGGAAACACAACCGGAAATCGAAAAAATCGAGGAACGCGGTCAAAAACGTCCCGCCGATTGGCCAAAGGTATTCTCAGATCCTTATGAGAAACCAAAGGTGGAAGACCTGGGGGATCAAACAACATGGGTTAAAATAGCTCCTGTCGACGCATTCCCTGAAGACGGAGGTCAAGTCATAAAATATGGTGAAACGCAAATTGCGATATTCAACACCGGTCGAAAGCGCTGGTACGCCACTCAAAATATGTGCCCTCACAAGAGAGCATTTGTACTTGCCAGCGGTGTAATTGGTGACAATGAGAATGGCGTCTTTCACGTTAGTTGTCCGATGCACAAGAAAAATTTCGCCCTTGAAACCGGCGAGTGCATTTCCGGTGACGTGGATTTGAAGATTATGACGTTTGGTGTTAAGGCGGAAGATGACTACGTTTGGCTCGAGCTTCCGCCGTCGCAAGAATTGGATCGACTGCTCGGAACCAATAAATGGATTGTTACTAAAAAATGCGGCACCAACAAATCATTGAAGGCGTCGATTGATGTGCAAATTGTGGGTAGCACCGAGAATGCTGGTTGTGCGAGCGCAGAATGTGGTGATAAAAAGCTTGATTGGTAATGTGTGTGTGGGGGGGGGGGGAGAGGGGGAGTAATTCTTCAGGACAAATAACTACATACCACAGATAAACGTGAACATTTTTCCCTATTCGAGGAAAAAATAATATTAAAAAAACTGCATATCGTAATCTTAATGAAACAATAGGATTGACGTTTGTGCACAACATTATTGATTATGCATGTACTAAATTAATTATTTAATAGTGATAGCGTATTATGTGTAAATAAATAATAATTAAGAAATTTGTCGAGATTAACGCTGTTGTTTCATCATATAATAATACCCTGAAGATAAAAAAAATTTTTGGATATCACAATAATGAGATAAACTCAGCAATTATTTTATCAATCGAAGATCGCTTAACATTTGCAGCATACATTTATGTACAGTAATTCAAGATAACAGAATGAAGTCGCACATAATTCTTAGGTGATCCCCGAAGCTCCCCTGACAACAGTGGAGCATCAAATTAACTAAAGATTAGAAGTTTTTACGTGACCATTCGCCTTTTCATATTCCACGGTATTTGTTAAAGTTCCGATCTCATCGATTTCAATTGACACTTCATCACCGTCCTGAAGGAATATCGGGGGCTTCCTAACGAATCCAACACCTATTAAACGGAAAATGCTTTTCTATAAAAAAAAAGACGTTGACTTTCATGGAAGTCATGAGTAAGCAAAATGTTTATTTTTTACCCTCCGGTGTCCCAGTAAGAATAATGCTTCCTGGTTGCAACGTTGTGCCGCGGCTCAAAAAAGAAATCAATTCGGGCACATCAAAAATCATATCTTGTGTGCTTGAGTCTTGTAACATTTTACCATTAATTCGTGCACGAATACCAAGCGCGTTAGGATTTCCGATGATCCTTGGCGACACTAACACAGGTCCAATTGGACAAAATGTGTCAAAGCCCTTGGTCAAATGTAAAAAAATTTTTATTAGGAACGAGCGCATATTCGTGACATCTCGAAAATTTTGTTCACCTTTGAAAAACACCATTGACCGGAACTTTTATTTATTCCTATGATTATTTGAGTACGGTTAGCTTTGCTTCATCAACAATAAACAATCATCAGCAAAGTATATTATTGTTTTTACCCTGCCATCGTCTAGCCGAGACATCATTTGATGCAGTATAACCCAGAACATAATCCAATGCCGCTTCTCTTGATACATTTTTACAAGGTTTTTTGATAACAACTGCTAACTCAGCTTCGTAATCAACTTGATTGTCGGTGGCAATATAGGGTATTTTGATTGGCGCAAAAGGACCTTGTAAAGATGTGCCAGGTTTGATGAACAAAATCGGATGTTGCGGTATTTGCTTGTTGGTCTCTTTCGCATGTCTTTTGTAATTAAGTCCAACGCAACGAATAATGGGAACTTGTGAACTATCCAAAGGTGCCAAGAGCTTTGAAATAAAAGATATATGCTCGTTAGCTATGACATGACATCAAATATGTGAGAAATTTTATCAGAGAACCTTCTTCACGCGCATAACGTCATTTGTGACCTTGGCAGTTCCTTTGAACAGATCTCCGCTAATCAATTTTACACTTAATTTCGTCACATCAGCATCAGACCATGTTCCAGAAGTATCAATAGGTTGACCCTGATGAATCTCACCATCTTCGCCGATAAATCTACATTATCCTGTTAATGACTTATTTTCCGGAACAAAACTCCAACCGAAACTTACCGAATAAATCGAGTCCAGTCGACCTAAGTCATAATGAATTTCATGGGGATGAACACTTGCATTTAATCATGGATACATGTTGGATAGAAAAACAAACCTGGGAAGCCATGGAAATTGAAAAATTGCGATTTAATGCCGAAAAGTTTACAATTGCCGTCGTATTTGTAGCAAAACCTGAGGTACGATAACGCAAAAATCTGAAAGACATTTGTGGCTTCATGATGATAAAAGCTGGGACTGTATAAATTTGGAAAAGTGACACAAACTCTTATTTAAGCTTACGTGCGATATCCATTCAAGGACAAACCATCGCCTTCGGTTATTAGTTAATTTAGAAATTTTCTTTGTGGAGTTTTTATCATATTAGTCAAGATCTCCATCGGAATTTATTCTGTCACTTGGGAAGGTTGAACTATTTGAACAAACATGCAATTGCATTTGCTGAGTTGTGTTCTTGCCAAAATATTGCCAGCTGCAGGAACTAATTAGAACCTGCGATTGGTTGTTAAATCTATCATGACTGGGGTTCACGTGATCTTGAATGGAGTGCTTCTGTGTTATTACAAATCTAATTAATATTAAAAATTTTACAAAGGAAAACCATATACAGTATACGGTATAGGCTTATTTATGTGTTTTATAATTATAATATTATTTTACTTTTAAAAATTTGAAGATATCCAAAGTTTCAATAACAAAAAAGTGTTTTTTTCGAAAAGAATGATGTACCTGATTTTCTTTATAAAGTAGAAAGGTTTAGAAAAAAATTTATTAAAAGCAAAATTCTCAAGTTCTTTTTATTATTATTATATTAAATGGATTGAAAATCTATTTCAAATTGTATAACAAATTACATATATAATAAAAATAAATAAATAAATAAAATTTTTTTATAGTAATATTAATTAGTAATATTGTATTTCAATAAAATAAAATAAATTATTATCTTTATATTAACATGTACTTATTTTTTGTTATCAAAGAATTTATTATTAATTAAAATCAATTTTCTGGATATAATTTATTGACCATATATAAGTTTACTAAACTATTTAATTTATAAAAATATAAAAATTATTAAAACTTAATAATAATGATGATGATGATAATAAATAACTTTATTATTAATAAAAAAAAAATTCTAAATTTTAAAATTTTTTATTGTATACAATTAAATTTTTAATTTTCATATTAATAAAGTTTTTCTTTATTAATTATAAACAATATCTTATTTATGACTTTTTTAATATAAAATGTTATAATAAAATTTCACAAATAATATACTAGTATCTGAAATATCTAATAGGATGGCATATAATAACTAGAGATTTTAATTATTTTTACAAATAGAGTTGATATCAACAATGAAAGTTTTTCTCTTACTTCTTGACAATATAGATCTATATTTATAATTAGATAACAATATTTTTAAGAAATTTTAATATAACTTTATTTATTAAACACTTTTATCATACTTGGAAAATAAATATTGTTACACTTAATTTTCGCCCAAGATCATCACTACCCCTTGCCTGATTTTTACTAGCATTTACCCTTGAAATGTTATCCATTCTAGAATAATTCTTGTATTACTATCCTTGTTATTGTTTAGCACTGTACTTTTCGTGCTATTGTTGCTCTAAAATATTTCCTATTTTATTTATTTCTCTTTATTATTGTATCTTCGCCAGAGCATTTGTTTCTATACTAACATATACAGATAACTGTTCTGACAAATATAATACTTCTTTTATATTTTTATTATTTCTTATAATTCATAATTATCATGTACAAAAATAATATAACTCAAAAATATATATAAAGGCTCCAATTTCGCCTAGAAATTGGCAGGCTTGAACTTATATTTTATCGAATAAATAACTTGACCTTTGGAAAACAAATCACCATTGCCTCTTTCGCCTAACCTCATACACCTCAGAACTGTACTAATTTGTACACCTCTAGAAACTTTAGCATACCACATTGGCCCTGTCCATCTAAAGTGTCTTCCTGCTACTAGTTCTCTGTCTTTATCTTTCTCCTGAGGTAGAAACGATATATGACAATATATCAAATCTTTTGTAACTTGAAGACTAACCTATAAAAAGTGACTACAATATCTTTATGCATTGTTATATGCCAATCCAACTTTAAAGATCAACATAGAATAGAGAACTAATAGCAGGAAGACACTTTATTTAGGACATAATCCTAATGTGGTATGCTATAATTCATAGAAAAAATATACTTTAGGTTGCAAAGATTATAAGGCAAGAGATGTAACAATTATAATTGTATAAAGACAAATATAATTATGATGATTTGTAAAGAACAATTTATTAGTTTATTAGAATAGAATTTTTATTCTGCCTACAATTCCAAGAGGAATTGAAAACTATTTTTATATATGTTAAAAATATAATATTTTCGTATATAATAAATATAAGTTATTTAATATAATAAAAATATAAAAGAGTTAACAGAAAAACTTTCTCCTGATCGCATCCGTTTTGTTAAAAATTTTCCTTTTATGGTAATTTTAAGCAAGAAAAAATATTTTACACTCTCTATCGCAAGTGAGCCCCAGCTCAGGAACTCAAGAACCTTCAAGACAACTGGTGCAATGGGATGGGACCTCTGGTTGAAGTCTATTCAAGTTTGGGAGTCTTGCTTATCCTTCGGTTGCATGGGGAAAGGCCCGTGGCAGTTCTCTTTTCTTC